ACTTGTAATAAATCTGCGTTTTCCAGTTACACCGACGCTTGCGAATTGCGACCATCAACCCCGGAACGTAGTTAATAAAGACCGTAATAACGCGGTCGCGGAAAGAGATTGGACACGCGTGAAATGCACGTTGTAATAAAATTGAAAGTAGCACGATATTCCAGTGACAAAAGTAGCAAAATTTACGAATAGAAGTCGAAAAGTATTAGTGAATTTCTTGAGAAATCCGGAAAACTGGCAAACGACGTGCAATACTAAGAGCCTACAAGGCAAATTGCTCGAAGCGTTCGTGTAGGCGCCAATATAAAAATTATTGCTATACATAATATTTAGTTAAATGAATTATCATTTTGTTCCACTACATTTCTTTTTAAAATTCTTTCTCTTTTCAATAAAATTCTATAAACAGGCGAAATTCAATTCGATTTCATTCGTGTATATTTAAAGAGGTAATTTCGCGAGAATGTCTAAAAACGAATCCTCGGTTGCAATGTTAAGTAACTAAAGATTACGTCAAATTGAAAGCGTGTGATCTCTTTGTCGCGGAGTGCACCTCGCAACTGCAGATATAACACTTTAGAGTGTCGTTTTAATTAGTCGCTCAAAGGATAGAACGGTGTTTTCGGCGTATGCTGTTCTCGACGATTTAACACGTAGTTCTGTACTAAACGTTGACAATACAGGCGTAAGAAGTTTAGACGGGACGTGCATCTTGTTGACGGAGATTGCGGTTGTCGTGGTTGTACCTGTAAAATTAAATTCGGCCGAAGTAAGTAGCTCAAAATACGATCTTTCGGGAACTTCGTGTACGTCGACGCGACGTGTTTCTGCGCTGCTGGCGTTCCCTCTACTTTCTACTCAATCTGGTTTTGAACTGTGTCAAACTTTTGATACCGTAGTTTGCAGTACTATGTTCCCTGACTAAAGAAGACGTACCGAAGTGTCGCGGATAAAGGCAAACACGGCCGTACGTATTTAAATGCCGTTTAAAAGTGGTCAATGCGTTCATCATTCGACACTATATGTACTTTGTCAGATTGCTGCACCGTGGCCTCCGTGTTTATCTATTGACGTTCCTTTCGGTTCATACTAACGTCCTCGGGGCTTAGCACTTCCCTCGATGATCAACGCAGCTAGAATGGCAGTCCGCTGTACCAATTGGGGCTCTCCCGTGATGAACCCACAGTTGTTGCGGCTTACTTGACGCACAGAGACACTGTGTGCGATGTCAATTCGTCACAGGTTCCGGATAGATCCGGCTCGAAGAACCGGAAAATCTGACGGGATATGTGTTCCCTTTTCTAGAGATCGACTCAATAACCAACAAATTCTAGTTTTGTGTTTTATATATTTTAGTTATTTGTGCCTCTGCTTATACATAAACAGAAAAAACCTCCGTTTTGTGATCTAATTGCAGAAGCGTTCACATAAGAGAATTTTAACGCAACGGAACAACAGGCGGTTAGCACTTGTCAGTTCGATTTAATACTTTGTATCTAACGACACAAGATAAAGAAAGATATACAGGATGTCCCGAAATTATGATACTTCCGGGAAATGAGGGGTTCCTCAGATCATTAGTAGTAACTTTTTCCGCAGCGAAATTGCAATCCGCGGCTTGGTTTACGAGTTTACGTCTGGCGCCAAGGCGGCCAAGCCGATTTCGCATCTCATTGGTCACTGTTTTTTTGTTAATAACTCGTAAACGATGCCTCGGAGAAAATTTTTCTAAAGAAAAAAGTTACTTCGAATGAGTTCGGGAACTCCTCATTTCCCGGTTGTACCATAATTTTGGGACACCCTGTATTTAATACTACATTTACGCGAATGTCGATTATACATATATCTATTTTTACTGAAGTAAATTTGACTCGTACAAGAAAATTGAAGTTCTTTTGCAGACAAAATAGTTCCAAATCGATAAACGAAAGATTTATTATTGATTTATTAATTTATTAATTTATTATTGAACATGAATGTTAACGCATCAGATGTTTTCTTCGTATAAGCCATTTTCATATGTCTAAAGTAATTAACTGTTACATCATTTTATGAGCGAATTATTTCATAACCATGAAAATAGGTATACCACATTCGACATTCAATGCGAAATGAACCAACAGATGTATTTAAAAATTAATATTTAAGTTTTATGTATAGCAATAAAATTTTCAATCAGTCAAATTTGCTCAGACCGTAAATTTAGTGTTAAAGAACAAATAGTGCGATAAAGAGAATTTTAAAGATATTTTCTTATAAGCCGAACTGAATAAGTTTTAATATACTACTCGACATAGATTTTCGATATTTCACCAATACTTTATCGTACAGTACGGACCCTGATAAAATACACGATCAGTGTAAAAAGTATTCGCACATCTTTTAAAACCGAATAACTTTTTTCGTAATTATAGCAAGCGATCTAAATATTTTGGGATGTCAAAAGGATTAATCTAGTAATCAATGGCTAAAACATTGTTTTCAAAGATTGCAGTTGGTTGGTACGATAACAAAATTAAAAAATGACGTTCTTTTAACCTCTATGACCTAAAAAAGAAAAATAAAGTAGCTTGGTTCAATTTCGAAAATGTTATACCGTTTTAAATGGTGTACGAATACTTTTTACACCGACTGTGCGTGATAAATATAGGACTAAAACATTTTCATTTCTCATGATTTTTGTTGCTCAAGCCGAATCTGATTAACGAAGTACGTCCACTTCAATTTACAATAAAAATTCTTTGCTACCTGGAAAGTACATTTTTTTTTCTTCGACTTGTTGGCATAGTTCTTTAAAGCTCTTATGAGAATAAAAAAAGACTGATGTAAAACTCCACTTTGTGTAGAAAAAACATTGTTACGTTAAGGAAGTTAATATCAGTTAAATCTCTGTATTCGAACTAAACAACGTCCTCTTGAATATCGGCTTTAAAAAGGTGTACGGTTGCATTTGCGGCGTCGCTTCGCAATATTGGAATTAAAATATTTTCCAACCTAATGGCTTTCGACTATAAATATTAATACTTTTTATGAGAGATGTCAAACGCTAACAATTAAGGCATTAAAACCGATATCACAGTGTTTGTGTTTCTTTTGAAACGAATATCTGTTAGTTTAAATATTTTGTTATGTCATTAAATACGTCGGAATTATTTCAGCTTACAGTTTTCCAATAAATCCTGTGTGTTGAATACGAATTATATTTCAATATGAATTCGTAAGCTTTAGCTGATTAATTTTTAAGTACATCAAATGCGATCTTTTATCATAAAACATGAATTAAATTTTTCCTGTATTCAAAATCGAATAATCCAGCATTCCTGTGATTGCTTTAAAAAACGTTTTATAGTTTGTTATTTTAATATGTTTCATTGCTTATCACATCGAAGAAATTATTTCCATCCTAAAAATTCATTACGACGCTGCCTAATGAAGAAATGTACCTATTCTTTAAGTGCGTTATAAAATAATTGTAAACGTGCGTTATAAACATTTCGCACATAAAACTAAAGTGACTACTGACTTCGGTTAATTAAATATCGTATGATAGTTTAATGTTGGATTTATGATGATGCAAATGAAATAACAACAAATTATACAAATATAATTAATAGACATTAGCATCACTCGGCATACATCGCAATTACAAAAATCAATAATTCTCCTCTCTGTCAACTATACTCTTCCTCTCGCATCTCAAATCACAATTTCTCAAAACGTTCTTTCACACTCAGTAATTGACATTTAAACCAACTTCACAATTCGCAATAAAAAAATCTCTCACATTTAACACTAAGCTGTAAAAATTGTAAACCTTTTGAATTTATAAATTCAGCCTTATCAGTGATAGGTTATCAATCTTATAAAGCAATACTCATTAATAATTTTAAGAGGTCGATAGATTTAATGTTAAAACAGTAAGTGTATAGGGATATTATGAATCCGATAACTTAAATTATCCTAATTAGATATACTTTTTTTAAATTAGATATCATTTATATAGATATCACATCAGATTTATATAGATATCATTTATTAGATATACATATATTCCAGTATAGGAATAATAGGAATATTAGGAATAATATATTAAATAGAAACTTTTTTTCTTTTATATAGTTATCCAAAGAATTGTTATAATTTATTAAATGGACGCGCATTCTTTAAGTCTTCAATCGCGAGCAATGTGGAATTCGCGTTCTAAATATTTCGTAAAATACATATAACAAAAAAAATAAAGAAAAGATTTAAAATTTTATATTATGAAACAAATTTTTATTTTTCTTGTTTTCCTCTTCTTAATGTCCATTTTAATCTAATTGTTAAGACGCATCTGCGTAATAAATAAAAGTAATGAGCGATTTCATACCGGAAAATCGAAAACTCGCCCGCGATTCGAGGGTAAAGCTGGGTTGGGGAAAATTTGAAATACTGTGATATAAAATAGTAGAGACATTGAAATATTTGCATAAGTAAAGACTACATTTGGAAATACTATTTCATTTCTTCATTTAGGGATTAAATGAAATGGTATTTCGAAATATCAGTATTCGCTTATACAAATATTTCAACGTTTACTATTTTATATCACAGCATTTCAAATTTTCCCCAGCCTTGGGGTGAAACACTTTTGGCATTTCTTAATGAAAACTGTTCGAAGAATAATAGATGAGTTTCTTATTAAAAATCATAATGTAATTCTAATTAATAGCATTACTCTGTATCTACATTAAATCATTCCTTAAAATACGCTACCCAGACATTTACGAGACATTTATTATTCTTGTTTCATGAAATATTACAGTGAAATATTCACGATTTTCTCATTTCGTAAATAACGACAGCGTGACATTTACGATTTTCTTATTTCTTCAAACATGACAGCGAGACGTTTACGATTGTCGGTTTGACTGACCACGAATGCATTTCGATATTTCATTAAGTCGTCTGTAAATCGATTTATAAGCAGTTCATAATTAGATTTCACACTTCCGTTTCAGATCTGCCGCTAATGACAGATTCGGTATCAACGAAGTCAACGACGGCGGCAAAGCGATCGATACCGACAGATGCACCGATGCTGTACTACATCTTCGACGCGCACAGTACGCTAAATAAGCATCAACATCATCACGATCATCGGTGGGATCCTCATTTCGAAGGGGAAGGAAAGAATATGACTGTTCAAGCCGGCGGCCGTGCCGTACTCGATTGCAGAATATCCTTATTGCAGGACAAAACCGTGAGTTTTCTTTCTCTTTCTTTCTTTTTACATTTCGCTTCATTTTCTCCACGTTTCTCCCTTTCCAGGTCTCCGTTTGCTCGCACTCAACTTCGAACAATTTTCTTCTCGCAGAAAATTAGAAAGACGATAATTCACGATTAATCCTGAACCGTACGACTTCGCTGGCGTAGGATAAGCCGCCACAATTTATTTTAATTAATTTCTTTGTATTCGCCCGCCTCGTTCCTCGCTCGCGGAAAGACTTTTAGGAAAAAACAATACGGTCGTTATCATCAGAAGCATCGCCTACACTTAAATTAATTTAATACCTGCTCCCGTTATATGTATGTTCCACGATCGAACTGAATTCAAATTATAATCTTTGATCAGATATAATGCAAACATGATACCATTATTCCGTTTGCATTGAAACGTTTCTACTGCGAATGCAGCAAAAACGATTTCTTCGACAAAGAGACGAATAGATAAAATATTCGAGACGGAGCAGTAAAAAATTCTTTTTTCGTGTTACAATGATAATGTGGAAGGAAAAGATTTTTATGGAGAATATTAAGCAACGTTATATATACGAATATATTATATATACATTATATACGAATATAAGCTTTATTTTCATGTTGTTTTATTGCTTTAAGTTTATAGAAGTAAAGTTATTCCTCATTGTGGAACTTTACGTACGGTGAAATCTTGAAAGCTGGGATTCAGCACAAAGAATGTTTGAAAAATGAAAAATAGGATAAAGTGCCATCATGAACAAAGTTTCGTTATTACATAGAATACAGTTGTATTCTCTTCAAGGCTGAGTTTGGCATTGTTCGGATTGTTTTGAATAAATATTTATCTATGATAATTATTCGACTGAATTCGTTTTGGTCGAATATTTTACTTGCATAATTAATTATTCGTCATAAATTATTCTGTCTATTCATTCGAATAATTCTTTATATGAATAATTTTTATTCGAACAATTCTTTATTCAAATAATTCGAACAATTTCAAAAATCTCAACGTTCTATTATTTTTATTTATCAATTATTTATTTATTATTTTATATCAATTATTTTTTCTATGAATTTCTATACGAATAAATTCTTATTTCAATAAAATTTAATTCAGATAAATTTCCAGTCAGTTAAATGTTTACTCGATTTATTCGACAGTGTGTAATCAAATTTTCTTCGTTAGTTTTTTTCTTTTATCCGTCATCCAAATAAAATTTTTCCGAACTCTGCTTCAAGCTATCATACGATTCTCCGATAACTTTGAAAGGTAATGAAATGGTGACTGTTTTAATCACGAAACTTCTGTTCTCGCGGATGAAAATCAACTTTGAAAATTTATTAAAAAAAAGAAGAAAGAACTTGAACATCAAAAGAGATCGTCCGCTACGTTGCAGATAACTTCACAGAGAATAATGCGTTAAAATTTTATGTTTGTCGGATGAATACTTTCGGGGAGTGCCAGGTCGAAAAACGTAGTTTCGAGAGAAACGGATTTACGGTTTTAACTTAAATTTTTGCTCTGGACCAAATGAAAGTTTAAAAAAATTCATCCTTGATCTGCGATTACGGGTGCATGAAATTGAATTGCTTTTAGCAATTGTCGAATGCCATTCGTGTTTTTTAAGTCCCAAAACGTTCTGTTTCAACCACTTCATAAATATTGCGTGAAAACTTCGTTGTTCGTTCGAATTTCAAAAAATCCTTCCGCCACGGTATTCTACGGATTCGGAACTTAAAAAACAATCTGAAGAATTCAAATTTTTTGAGACCGACATGGTTGCATACTCCCTTAATGCAACCATAACATTTGTTAGTGAACACGGAAGGAAAACACTACCTTTACACGCGGAAAAATGTTAATAGGTCTGCAATACACGCGTTTCTTGTAATCATTTAAATTTCAAATGAGACAGTTAATGTATACTGTCGCAGTTAAACGAGATAATTGGATGACCTGATTCAGATGGGGCACGTCGTATTTGAAATTTGAACGAAGTCTTTCAGCAAACACGGCCGAACTGGACCAATCATTAAATCTGAATTTGCTGAAGTTTTATATGGAACGGTTAGGATGTGTTTAACTAAATTTACTCGGGCTACCTTAGAACACCGAAACGTCTACTAAACGCTACAGAAACTCATTCGGCAGGAGTAGTTATATTCTGAAAACGTTGCACTTCGCTGAACTCCGGTCGCGCTCGCCTCAGCGTAATATTAGGCTATTAATGTCGTTGCTGTTGCTATTACTGCTAACGACGGTGTCGACTAACCCGATTATCCATGCATGATTATCTTTGAAATGTATAACTAGCCTGAAGATCATATTTATAGTTCTACATTATTTAAACTACGCCAGAGACAAAACTTTTGATGTCGTATTCACATTCCCTCCCCCTCGTAACCTATCTTCGGCGAGGTTTCAGTGTTTCACCTTTAAACAATAGGTTGACTGTTTCGCGTTAAGGGGTTAAATCTCTCTTTTACGCGATCAAAAATTACTTGGATTTTAAAACAACAGCAGAGGAGATTGTAAACACTTCATTGATATGACCGATTTCCACTGATTTTACAATGCTATGAACTATTAAAAAAAAGCAATATTAATTTTATTTTAAATGCTGTTTATGTAGATTTTGATTAGGTTTATTTTACAAATGTGATCATCACCAAGATTTTTATTTTTGTGAAAATTTAAAAAATGGCAGCTGTTTTTGTTTGGCTTATCGAATTTGTACAAAAAATTCGTACGTCTTTGATTACATTTTCCAAAATTATTAAAAATTAGAAAAATGTGGATCGTCAATACCTAATATATATATTATATTGAAGGTATCTTCAAAATTTTAAGATAATCGGTTAATTAGCTCTCGAGATATACCGCACACCGTTTTTAAAAATACAGTTTCGAGAAAAATGCGTTTGAAGTTGCCGAACATAATTTTTTATATCTTTATATGAAATATATTATATAGGTATACGAATCGGCTACAAGTTTCATATTTTTAAAAAAATAATTTGTTTCAAAGGCTGGAATCTTTTACATATTTATTTTTAAAGCTTCAAACCATCATTCCAAACGAAAAAGAAATTACATTTTTTTAATATTTCAAAATGGTTAGACCCCTTAAATCAATCCTGTTTTACGTCCATTGCGGTGGAAATTCACAATAACAGATTAATATATGAAAATAATATCAATAGTAGGTTAAAATTTGACGCGTTGCATTTCTGGTCTAGACAATCCAGTATTCACAAAAATATTAACGATACATAGACTTTCCATTTGAGCCGTTTATTTTGAAAGTGGCATAAATCACTTTGTTTTTAAGTCGAGATATTTAAAGGTTTGCGTTTTAACACGTTTAAAAATATGGATGCTAACTTTCTAGAAGATTTACTTGTATTTGTTATCTCAGGATACTGATATTTTTCTCAGTATAAATAATTTTGTATAAACATTAAAAAATCACCACTTTTCATTACGGTAAAGTGACCTATGCCACTTTCAAAATAAACGGCTCATTTATAAAATCGCGAATCCAGGATAAAAGGCATAAGGCTCACTGGACTTTTCCGGCTAAAATCTGGACACTTTTAACTATCTTTTAAATTCGATGAGATATTATAATTAAAAGTTTCGGTAAATTAGAAACAGTAACCACAGTCAAGAGAGAATAGAAAAAAATATATAATTGTATNCTTTATATGAAATATATTATATAGGTATACGAATCGGCTACAAGTTTCATATTTTTAAAAAAATAATTTGTTTCAAAGGCTGGAATCTTTTACATATTTATTTTTAAAGCTTCAAACCATCATTCCAAACGAAAAAGAAATTACATTTTTTTAATATTTCAAAATGGTTAGACCCCTTAAATCAATCCTGTTTTACGTCCATTGCGGTGGAAATTCACAATAACAGATTAATATATGAAAATAATATCAATAGTAGGTTAAAATTTGACGCGTTGCATTTCTGGTCTAGACAATCCAGTATTCACAAAAATATTAACGATACATAGACTTTCCATTTGAGCCGTTTATTTTGAAAGTGGCATAAATCACTTTGTTTTTAAGTCGAGATATTTAAAGGTTTGCGTTTTAACACGTTTAAAAATATGGATGCTAACTTTCTAGAAGATTTACTTGTATTTGTTATCTCAGGATACTGATATTTTTCTCAGTATAAATAATTTTGTATAAACATTAAAAAATCACCACTTTTCATTACGGTAAAGTGACCTATGCCACTTTCAAAATAAACGGCTCATTTATAAAATCGCGAATCCAGGATAAAAGGCATAAGGCTCACTGGACTTTTCCGGCTAAAATCTGGACACTTTTAACTATCTTTTAAATTCGATGAGATATTATAATTAAAAGTTTCGGTAAATTAGAAACAGTAACCACAGTCAAGAGAGAATAGAAAAAAATATATAATTGTATGGAACATATACGATATAATACACTATATAAAATAAATAAACAAAATAAACAAAGGAAGTTATAAGATTGATTATTTTATTATATATTTTCGACTGTTAAAATATTTCTAAATTAGTTACTAACGTACAACTAAAATAAAATGAAATTACTGAAATAAAATTAGTATTAATGTACAACTAAAATAAAATCAAATCCTAAATTAGCTTTTCTTGTTCGGTCCTTTAACAAGGAAAACCCGGATCCTTAAAGTAAATCACCCCGGACGCACTAAAAACTAGGACAAATCCGGGGAAACCGGGATAGATGGCAACGTCAGTGATAGAGAAAAATTATAGTAGGGGAAATTGAAATGCTACACAAGAATTTGTTTCTTCTTATAAATAAATACGTCGAAAAGATTTCAATTTTATTATGGAATATTTTTTAAAATAGGTCTGTGTATATTCCCAAGCATGGATAAAATTAGTCAAAAGTACCTTTTTTTTTAATATGGAAATCGCATATGAGATTTATTAATACAAAAATTAAAGAATTACAGGTATAATA